GTCTATCTGTTCAGAATCTGAAACTTGTAATTCGTCTATGACGTTCTTTAAACTAGCTATCCATGTGTGCAAGGATTTTGCCCGGTCGTTAACTTAAAGTATATTAACCGGGAGAACAGCAGTCCTTATGAAGGAAAAATCTGGTTATCTCCGATATCGGGTTGATATATTATTGTGCAGCAGGGATCTCATCTGGAACGCCTTGTTTTTGGTGTGCAACAAGGATCACCTCTGAAACGCCCTGTTTTTTGTGTGCAACAGTGATCACCTCTGCAACGCCCTGCTTTCATATGCTAGTTACCATTCCCAGATCTAGAAATAAAGTCACTGCTTGCGACTTAGCATATGTAGGCAAGGCAGCAGGTGTTTGTGATGACAAGTTTAATGCCATGAAAGGCACAAACTCTGGTGCTTTATGACTTAGTTCTACAACAGGAGTTTTTTTTTTTTTCTCTCTTATAAGCCTGTCACTTCCTGTAAATGAGTCAGGTCTTGATGTTTATTGACGAAATCTTGCACACGTTGGAGCGGGTTTTTTTAGTCTCGTTAGGAAGATCCCCTGTTCCATTTGAGTTTTCCTGCGAACGGCCTCCTGTTCTTTTTTAGCTTTGATATGCTCTGCCACTTGTTCAATTCGAGCTTTCAGGTGTGCAGCCTCGGCAATTTTACGTGTGGCTTCTTCTTCTGCTTTGGTTCTTCTACGTGTGGCTTCTTCTTCCGCCTCGGCTCTTCTACCTGTGGCTTCTTGGTTCACACGGATGGCTTCTTGTTCCATTTCGGCCTTGATTTCTGTTTGTCTGTACATGGCCTGTTCCTTTAATACTGCCTCTTGCTGAAGGAGCGCAGCTTGTTTTCGGCAAATGCTATCCTAGATCTAGCAGACTCTGCTTTGGCTTGCTTTCTCCGTGCTAGGCTTAACATGTCTGAAATGTTAGAGCTTCCACTGTGTGAGGTTTTCGTACCCTTTGATGTCTTCGTTTTAGTTGATTTAGCTTTTATCAGGACGAGGCGATGCTAGTGTAGGGTTTCCATGACCAGGTCCACTTTGGACAGACGAATATCTGATGAAAGATTACATGTGTCTATGTCCTTTAGTTTAAGTTCTCATCTGTGAGCCTGCAATAATTAGTACATGCTTGTACAATTTTGTCCTGTGCTGTAAGCAGTTGCTGGAGCTCGTTATGAGGCGTGGTCACTTCCAATTACTGGAATTCTAAGTCTGTCCGGAGGACCTCTCTAGCTCCTGTCAGAACTTGTCACGTTTCTCTGTGAATGATCCCTGACTATTTTCCCGTGAGTTCACGTATTCTCCTAGTCTCGGGATGTTCCTTTAAGAGTGAAACATAAGGCGGATTTTCGACAGGCTAACCAGCACCCACTTGAAGTTCCGCTCCTGCTGTCAGTTGTCAGTAGTAGAGCAGGAAAAGGTGATCCTTCTAGAGCAGGATGTGTTACCACCTGATATGAATCATCAATGCATTTAACATGATTTATATGTCAGGTGTCAGTAGTAGAGCAGGAAATGTGACCCTTCTGGAGCAGTATGTGTTACCACCTCATAGGACTCATCAATGCATTTAACATGATTTTTATGACTTCGAAAGAGGACATAAACTTATTTCTAGACTATAAGACTATTATGATAGGAATAAGCAATAATTTTATTCGCACATAGATGATAGAATTAAGAAGCGCTAGTGTATACGCAAAATCCCTAGTTTATTAAAGACTGAATATCTCCAAACATCGTGGTTCATAAACCGGTATGCAAATATTTTGTGTTCAATCATTTTAATTATGCAATCGTCTAAAATGCAAAATGTATTACTTTCTAGTTAAAAACGTCGTACAAGTCGATACAAAACCAAAGTAACAACATAAACGGGATTGTAACTATCGCCTTGGACTTGACCTGACTACTCGTGCAGAAAAAATATACGGCAACGCTTGTTACCGGTCTGTTTTTGTTACCTTTGTTCTGTATCTAATACTTAAAACTGCTTGAAGTTGTAAAACGGGTTCTTGTTATTTTAGATTTAGAAATGTGGGTAATATATGCAGGTGAAATCCTTTGATGGTTTAAAGGATGGGGTTCCGTTATAGTATATAAGGAAATTGTTGAGCTGTCAGTTCATCGAATGTGTTCACAGTAACTACAACGTAAAGTTTGACGTGTATTGCAATATTTATGAATATGGATGTTATTTTAGATGTATTGATATGTTGGACAATTTGTTGTATGAAAATGTCAATTTTAATATTGTAATTAAATAATACATGTATTAGATTATTATGTTATTGAACATTGTTAGCAAGAGAAAAGAACAAGTTACTGCGATCAACCAAATTTATATTAGAGTTTTGTCTTATTTATACTAAGAAATTTAGTAAAGAAATAGCATGGCGAGGGAGAATTTAATTTTATATACGCTCTACAAATAATATTAGCCGGTGTACAATTTAGATCATCGAAACTTCTGGTGAAGAAAAGGTTTTGTTTATTCCTGATGAACTGAGCAAAGTCGTACTCCAGACCATAGTTAAATTTTCAGTGATGTTATATTTTACAGGAATACCCATAGTCGTACTCCAGACTGTAGATAAATTTTCAGTGATGTTATATTTGTCCGGAATACCTGTAGTAATACTCAAGACCATAGTTAAGTTTTCAGTGATGTTATATTTTTACCGGAAAAACCCGTAGTGGTACTCCAGACCATAGTTAGTTTTCAGTGATGTTATATTTTACCGGAATACCCGTAGTCGTACTCCAGACTGTAGATAGTTTTCAGTGATGTTATATTCTTACCGGAATACTCGTAATCGTACTCCAGATCATAGTTAAGTTTTCAGTGATGTTATATTTTTACCGGAATACCCATAGTCGTACCCCTGACTGTAGATAAGTTTTAAGTGATGTTATATTTTACCGGAATACCCGTAGTCGTACTCCAGACCATAATTAAGTTTTCAGTGATGTTATATTTTACCGGAATACCCGTAGTCGTACCCCAGACTGTAGATAAGTTTCAGTCATGTTATATTTTTACCGGAATACCCTTATTCGTACTCCAGACCATAGTTAAGTTTTCAGTGATGTTATATTTTACCGGAATACCCGTAGTCGTACTCCAGACTGTAGATAAGTTTTCAGTGTTGTTGAATTTATTCCTCTGGTTTTTGATTCCAAATACAAGGCAATTTATAATTTAGAATTGTCTTTGGTGTTCATTGTCCTCATAATTTCTAATTCTAAATCTTATAATTTTTTTTCAACGCAGTGTCTTCAATTATCTTTGACTTGTGAATTTTTCTCATGTTTAGGTTGTTGTTTAAGGTAGCACAATACAAAAAGCAACTAAATTTTATCAAAATTTATTTTTCAACTGTTTTTGTTACTTCTTAATATTACAAAACCACAGAAGAAAAATATGTTTCCATATCTTGCACTGTTAATGAGTTTTGATGATAATTAGTTTAATAAAACAAATGCACGTGTCTGACTGATACAAATAAGAACATGTGGGCAGTACTTTATGATTAATCAATAGAATCATTTGATAACTTTATGACCACTGACCAGCTATAAAAATAACAGTCATAGAAAAGAGGTTGAATTAGGGGTTTGTAGAAAAAAGAAGATAATGAAGTCCAAATAAAAATACATTTCTATATTGAGGCTGCCAGGAGAAAAAAAAACAAAAAAAATAATTTGGAGCTATAGAGGGAATCAAATATAAATGTACAGATATTAAACAAATATAATTGTGCAACAATTAATGTTGCTGATATGTTAATGCTGATGGTTATATCAGATTTTCTTGAGGATAATGTGTAAATATGAATTCTTTATTAAAGAAAACACAAATCAAATATTTTATTTTCAAACTACAAAAATAAGAAAATTCTACTTGGTGTAAAACACCATATTTTCATTGTATACAATTACAATTCTAGAAATCCCCCATAAGAATCCTCTAGACTGACCAACTGGTGATTTTATGAACACATGCATAACTTACTTTTTGGGAAAATGTTAAAAACAAAATATATTGTTTCATGTACTCATTGAATAAAAAGTCAATATTTGAAAAAAAGCAAATGCAATGTGTAATTAAACTTCTGAGATCATTAATGGTTGATGTTTACCCAGGTGGGCGGAGTTTTGACCATATCAGTAGCAACTGACTTACAGCAAGGTCAATAATGATATAACTTCTCCCGCCAGATCTGGTTTTTTGATGCATAGGGTGTGCATTTTCTTTTTATACTTAGAATTGCTGAAATGGAATGCTTTCTTACTGGTCAAAACCTAATTGATTTATGATTAGAGGCCAATCCTGAAGTATCCCCATGGTACATGTGTGAATGATATTGAAGTTAATGAGGTTCAAATTGGAAAATCCTTATTTATTCAATTGTGACACATACGTTTTTGTCATAAAAATGTAGTTTTAAATGAAATAAGCTCCTAGACGGGCGCCCCTATATGCCTGTTTTTACCACATGTTGTTCCTTGACCAGTTATCTTCAAAACTATGTCTCAGATTTCCAAAAACATCAATAGAACAAATTTTATACCCAATTAAATTGAGTGATTTCTTATGAAATAAGGTTGCAAACTTAATTGAGCGGTTATGAGAGAATGAAATACAATAGGAAAAATCTGGGACACGGTTTTGGAGGTCAAACTGTTGCACAAGAATCTTATCAACAATTTTGGGATACTATGAATAACAAAGAAGCTAATTTCATTCAAATGTGGACATCAGAATCTAGCAACTAATTACATAATAGTTAATTATGTAGTAATTATGTAGTAATGAAATTATCACCATTTGAAAGATAAATCTTTCTTCTTTCTTTTGGTTCCTCATTTATGAATTTATGCTACCTTGATATACCGTAGCGTTCTCAATTAAATTTTAACGAAAAATGGCTGAAAAGAGGAACAAAACATAAGAAAACAGATTTATTATTGTCTATTTTTCTCATTTCAGGTTTGACTTGTTTCCTGCCATATCTTAATCCATTGTTTTTGTTTGTGATGTTAGTTGGAAGGGAACGTATAGATGGTGACGAATGTAGCAGACGTTATGGAGAAGCTTGGCAAACATACTGTCATCGCGTCAAATATAGAATTATTCCATATGTTTATTAAAATAAAAATATGGTGTTGGCATAGTTAAAAATTATGTAAAATATATTAGCAGTCCTTCATCTATCCCCAAGAATTCACATCAACAGGATGTTGGATATATCTGAACTCATTATCTGTACTACTAAGGAAAACACGATTTTTGAAAAATTAAACTGTCACTCAAATTATAATTTGTTAGACGATAAATACCACATGATTTACAGGTGGTAATTATTGCATAAATGAATCAATAGAATTGCACCATTAATCCAAACTTTATAAAAGTACATAAAACTGTGTATTTTATTATATGCTGATGACGTTGTTGTTATAGCAAACGATGAAAAAGAGCTACAACTTCTGTTAAATGCTTTATCTACATGATGTGAAGACAATTGTATGACAATTAATGCAAACAAGAGTAACGTTGTACATTTTATATTTTTTTATTTACCAAATTAGGGCCCCAGGAGGGCATATAGCATACAAAAAATATTATTATAAACAATAACATATGCAATACACAGACAATAGATATGTAACCTGTGTTATAAAAACAATAAAATAGAATAATATACTACAGAAAATACACTCAACAAAATAGTAGCACTGTATTATTATTCAATGAATACGTACTATGTTGACATTGACTCAAGTGCACCCGGTAAGTGTATTTTCACTTTGAAAGACAAACAAGAGGCATTAGTAGTTTGTGCGGAGAAATCTCAATATAAAAAAAAAACACAAAAAAAACCCAAACAATTTAAGCACTTGCACATTTGACTATGAGGTATACTGCAAATAACAAGTTAGTATATTTAATAAAGGATATTTAATATGACTCATCTGCAAAAAGCACCAAGAGTCGGTGCTTAAAGGGAAGTCCCTACTTGTACTTAATGCAGATGAGTCAAACTCCTAAATTATTTAAAATATATTTTAAAAACATATTTTTAAGATTATAGATTCTGTGTCCAGCCAGCAAGGATCATCAAGGGACGGTGCCAGAGAATTTGAAATTCTTCTTATGATCTGTGCAGGCTTAACAGGTTATCCAAATTCATATTAAAGAGTTATATTGAAATTGGTTATTGCAGATTATGTTGTCCTTCAATTCTTAGTATCTTCTATATATTTATAAAATGCAAATAGTACATTGGGATCCTCATTATTCATTATCCAAATTAATTTGTTATTAATATTTAAATTTTGAAAGTTTGGACATGATTTTAATATATTTTGCATCAATTCCTCTCTTTTTAATAAATGAGTGTCACATTTAAATAAAAAATTAACTTCATCCTCAACCTCACCTGAGGTGCACCTGAGACAAATTCGGTTTTGTCGAAGAGTACCCTGGTATCTACCAGATTCAATTTGCAATTTGTGAGCAGATATTCTTAATCTAGTAATACATTTCCTTTGCTCAAAATGTCGCATTATTGACAAATAATTTTCAAAACCGAAGTTGCACTTGAATGTTACATAAGTTCGTAGTTTACCATCTTTATGTATATCTAGCTGTTTTTTTCCACAATGCAGTATAGTATCCCTTAACAATCTGACCACAGTGTAATTTAAATGTTGAATATTTTTCAGGAATATGCTTTTCTATGCCTGACATTTTTTCCCTTAAAATATTAATTGATCCATACCAAGAGGGCTTTTTTGTTTCAAATAGCTATTTAGAACAATTATATGCAGCTTTTAACAAGGGAAATGATGAGCCAATATTTTCTAAACGATGTCAATATCCTAAAACATGTTTGACTATATCACAGTGCAGTGGAAAACGGCCTAATTCAGACAAAACTGCAAAGTTTGTACTTTTTCTATTAACATCTAAAATATATTTGCAGAATTTAATATGAAGTTTTTCACAAAGTATCCTTGAGTAAATTGTATCCACCGATATGTTTTCTTTTTTTTAAACGTGCAGTAAAGGGATTAAAATATCCCCAAATTTCACACCCATATAAAAATATAGTCTTTATTGTATAGTCAAAAACATGAATTGCATGTTTAATAGTAGGATTATGCACTAAAAAATCAATACATAATTTGAAGTACGCTTTTAGGGCTCTTTGGTATAATCATTCTGAGCATATGAAAAAGAACATGATGCATTAAATTGGATACCAAAATATTTATAATTAGATACACACTCCAGCTCATCTTTGTTGAAAATAAATTTCTGAGAGATATGTCTGCCCGCCCTGTTGAATATCAACACTTTAGTTTTCTTAGTATTTATATTTAAGCACCAATCATTGCAAAAATCATGAAGTTTATTTAATTTCTCTTGTAGTCCTTCTGCTGAGTTAGATAAAATTACAATGTCATCAGCATACATAAGGCAATGAATGAGTTTGCCATCCAGCATAATTGGATCTCTGGTTTGTGTAAAATAATCTGGAAGGCTATTTATAAATATTTTAAACAAGTTAGGACTCAAGTTATCTCCTTGTTTAACACCAAGCGTGGTTTGAAAGAATTCAGTTATTCCATCATGTATTTTTATACAAGATCTAGTTTCAAGATACATATTCTTAATAAAGCTATAAAACCTTGAACTAACCCCAATCTCTAACAGCTTAATTCTAATTCCGGTATGTATTACTTTATCAAAAGCTTTAAGAAAATCAACAAAGCAAGCAAACACTCTCCCATCCTTAGTATTACAGTATTTATCAAAAATACATTTTAAAACAAACATATGGTCAGATGTTCTTGCCTTTCTTGTGAAACCTATTTGACAATCATTAATTACATTATTTGCTTCTAAAAAACTATCCAACCTTATATTAAGTATACTGTTAAAAAGCTTACCAATTGCATTAATTAGTGATGGTTAGTCCTCTATAATTATTTGGGTCAGTGACGTCTCCTGACTTATGTAATACTGTGATATAACCTTCTGTCCAATTTCTTGGGTATAAACCATGAGACGGACAAGAATTAAATATTTTCGAAAGAGACGATAATAAAATATTTTGACTGTGTTTAATCATATTATTTGAAATGTTATCCAAGCCTGGTGATTTGTTACAATGTAGTTTAGAAATGGCAAAAGAAATTTCTTTCTCTGTTATAAGTTTATCAAGATTATTAAAACAAACATTTTTTTCAAGATTATCTAGCTTTTTTTCAACTTAGCCACTCTTTCTTTGAATGAATCATGTATTTGATATAATCCATTGAAATGTGAAACCCACGCAGATGGTGCCACAGCAGAACTATGATCCTTATTATCATTATTTTTTAAATCGTTAATTAACTTCCAATAAGATTTAGGATTATCATCATGTAGATTCTGTAACTGTTCAACAAGTGATTTTTTATGTTCTTTATACTTAAATTTTCTAAGTTTAGAGTATTGCTTATTAAGCTTATAATAGTGACCCCTCACTATTGGGTCATAAGGAAATTTTGAATATACTTTACCGTAACTTATTAATTTGTTTCGGAGATGGTACAAATCTCCATCAAACCATTTTTTGTCTTTATTTTCTAATTGCATAGTTTATTACTTTTTAGAGAATTAGTAGCAGCAGACAAGAAAATATGTGGTAATTCTGCTGCAGCCTCATCGACAGAGGATTAAGACTCTTTGATTATACTTTTATTAAATGTGTCAATTTGTGTTTGTATATCTGGTAATAATATTTAGCTGTCTGAAAGTTTGTAGGTGATTCATCTGACCATATGAAGTTTGGAGATTTATCAAACATATTAATATTACAATAATTATCATCAACAGTAAATTTACTTGACATTTCCCATTCCAGTATACAATGACAATCTGAAATAGTAGGTATGAAGTTGTGAACATAAAAATATGAAATTTGATCCAGAATACTCTCCGACACCTTCACATAGTCAACCACACTACTGCCATTTGGCGTATAACATGTGTACTTTCCAAAAACATCCCCTATACCTAGATCTGATGTAATTTTTAATTGTAATGGTCATACTATTATGTTTTCAAGTAGTTATACATATCTTGGTCTCGTTCTAAACGAGCATTTGGACTATAATATTACTGCAAAAGACGTTCATCTTCAGCTAATAGAGCTTTAGGGTTGGTAATAGCCAAGTGTAAACTTTTAGGTGGTGTTTGTTTCGATGTATTTGTAAAATTATATGAAAGTTTGGTTTGTCCTATAATAGAATATGGAGCAGGTATATGGGGTGTAAAAACATATTCTTGTATTAACTCCATACATAATAGGGCATGTAGATTTTTTCTTGGGGTAGGAAAATATGCACCAAATGCTGCAGTCACTGGAGACTTAGGTATAACACCTATTTTTGATAAGCAGTGGAGAAGTATTATTCGTTTGTGGTGTAGATTAAATAACATGAGCTCAAATCGGTTAAATGCAAAAGTTCACAAGTGGGCTGATAGTATGAGTATTAAGCATAATTGTGTTAAAAACTGGAATTTTTTAGTAAGGAAAACCTTCTGTGAACTAAATTTAAGTCATTTATCGTGTCCTGAAAATATGGACACTAACTATGTTGTAAAACTTTTTATGTCAAAATTACACGAAAAACATGTCGATAATTGGCATGCAGTTTTACATTCTGATAAATCTATATCGGGTAGAGGTACCGTGGCAATAAGCTACGAACGTACAGATTGTTTAAAGAAAATTTTGAACCGGAGGAATACTGCAAAATAGATTTACCTTTCAGTCACAGAAGTGCTTTCGCCATATTTAGATGTGGTGTTGCTCCCCTAAGGATTGAAACAGGGAGATATGAAAATATTGTTTTAGAAAAAAGAGTGTGCCATATATGTGACGTTTTTATTGAAGATGAAGCGCATGTTTTATTAAGATGTCCTCTTTATGACGATATTAGAAACCATTTATATTATGTTGCTAAAACTTTTAAAGAAAATTTTAATACTTTAGATGATAACCAAAAGTTAGTGTTTTTATTCTCAGATGTAAGTATGATACGTGTGTGTGCCAAAACCTGTCATTTAATTTTAAAAAGGCGTAGACATTTTATATATTGTAAATAGTATTTTATTTCATATTGTTTAGTGTATTATATCTATGCATTTTAATAGTCTCTAATAATTCTGTATAGAATGGCTCTCATTTTATTTGGTGTTATTTTACAATGTATAAAGATTGATTGTACTTGTTGAGAGATGAGACTTAAATAAAACATTGAATTGAATTGATATATTCAATCATTTGTGTAATTCTATGATATGAATATATATATACATGCAAGAAGAATAAAAGATGACATAACAGATTTATAGCTTTACTTTACAATTACCTTTAGAGATGTACGAACGATCCAAAAGATTTGCAAACACAATATGCATTATTTTCTGAACGCCTTATCAAAAGGGGATATAAAGAAAATGAAGTTAAAACTGTTATGCAAGAGGTGACTGCAAAACAGAGAAATGACACATTGATGGTTAAACCCAAATCTGTATTACAGTTTCTCCACAGTGTTTTTAGACAGTAAAAACACTTAAAGAACAATATTTTAAAACACTGGGATAAATTGAAAGATGGCAGACCTCTTTTCGCTTTCCGTAGGCATAAAAACTTGAAAGACACAGTAACATCTGCAACTCTTTGTAATTAACATGTTGGAAATTATGAAAATATATTCTTTACTAAGTTTGTTAAATTGATAAACATTGACAGAAAAGAAAGAGTATAGAAAAGTATTAATCAAACAGATCACGAGGTCACGGCCGTCACTCGGCTAACCGAGAGATTGGTCGGTTAATCTATATTGAGTATGCGGCTATATCGGCGATTGGTCTGTTAATTGGGTTGGCTAAAGTCTGTTAATCAGGTGTTATCGAGAAAATACTTGCAAGTTCAGTATGTTTGATTGTATAACTTTTTGAATATATTTTTATCATAAAAGTTATTCATGTCTGACAAAACAATTCAATGTACTGAATCCAGTGGTGTAATTATTTTTTTTCTAGCTTCGATAAACAATCAATAAAATGAAAAGGCGGGTTACTCATCAATAAATTTATACACATTTTACACACACAAAATGTACACAAAATGACAACTTGGCTGAATTTACTTGCATGCAATATTTTGAACATCGAAAAAAGACAGGCATTATGTTTGTTAACCATATTAATATCATTGTGTGAAAAATCTACACGAAAATCTGTAGTTTGGTGATATTAATCAATTTTTATTAAAAACCTTGTCTGTTAATGGGTCGGATGTATAAAACCCGGTCTGTTATTTGGTCTGTTAAGAGTTATGAATGGCAATGAAAATATAATTTGATTGCATTATGGGGAGTTATCGGATCAAATGGGTAGGCTCAAGACGAGTGGCTAAAATATACAGAAACAACACATGAACAATGAAACATAAATTTAGACATTGGAAATTGGAAATTGATAAAAATGGTTTCAAAAAGTGTAATATTAAAGTAATATTAATTTCATTCAAGGATGGTCACATATATCATGTGAATTCTGTTTCGTTGTTATGAATGACACCAATTTGTCATCTACATTGGTAACCAGTATATACATCATTTTTATAGTTCGTTCTTATGTTGTACTGTTATACCACCGTCCCAGGTTAGGGGAGGGTTGGGATCCCGCTAACATGTTTAACCCCGCCACATTATGTATGTTTGTGCCTGTCCCAAGTCAGGAGCCTGTAAATCAGTGGTTGTCGTTTGTTTATGTGTTACATATTTGTTTTTCGTTCCTTTTTTTTTATATATAAATAAGTCCGTTAGTTTTCTCGTTTGAATTGATTTACATTGTCATTTCGGGGCCTTTCATAGCTGACTATGCGGTATGGGCTTTGCTCATTGTTGAAGGCCGTACGGTGACCTATAGTTGTTAATTTCTGTGTCATTTTTGTCTCTTGTGGAGAGTTGTATCATTGGCAATCATACCACATCTGCTTTTTATATCAGAGATAAACGTCGTAATGTAACTAAACATCAGTAAGTAAAATATATTGGGATGCTAAAATTTAAAGAATAGAGAAAGAATAATGAGAAAAATAAATAAAATGTAGAGAAAAGTGACATAACAATTTAAAGAATACAGAAATAAACAACACCCCCAATCCGGACCCTCATGGTATACACGAGAATCTGGATGGAGACGCAGAATATAGAATAATAGATAAGGACAGTAGAGAGTGATGCATTGCTAAAAAAGAGAGAAAAATAACAATTGTTTAAGAATACAGGCATGAAACACCCCTTTTTACTATTTAGACCCTCCAAGATGATTGTTAAAACAATTTTGGCATTTATTCCACATCTCCTTATTTTTAAATTAATAGTATAGACAACGATATCTATATAGCATCTTCGCTAGCCAAGAGAGGAGGGAAGTGGATCGTAACCCTTGGCTGGAGAGGAGGGAAGTGGATCGTAACCCTTGGCTAGCGAAGATGTCTATATAGATGATTTGCAATTTTTTTTACTGTATATCACTTTATATGTTATTTGAGACTGGAGTCCGATAAACATTGGCCTCCTGTCAACCGCTGAATCTGATAGCTCAGTAAATATTGTGAAGTGCAAACAAAACAAAATTTCAGGGGGAGGGGGTGGTTGAAACAGTAACGGATTGCGATGTACTCAAATTGGTGACAAATGCTAGAATTTTACAAGCGCACAACTGCAGTTCTCCTCTGCACTTATGTATATATAGAAAGGAACTAAACGGAATAAAATGAATTAAAACTTAAGATAATCAAATGTAGCTGCATTCGCTTCTTTCCATTTACTTCTTTAGAATGTTTTGTAAACAACATATGATTAAGTAATAGAACAAAAGAACCAATTGGATGATGCTGACGAATTAGAGTTTAACGTCCAGTGGCAAATATCATGTCCATATGAGAACGACAACACGTTATATGTACCCGGTGTTGTATAAGACAGACACTTTCAGTCGGATTTTTGAACGTGCTTCTTTGAACAGACATAAAAATCAAGGCTGATTGAAAACGTTAATAATAAATTCATGCATATTCCAGCGGCCGAATCCATATCACGCTATATTGCAGTGACACACCTTTCAATAAAATGCATTTTTTTTAGAAAGTCAAAATAAAAATGCCCTTAACTACAAGGATACTGTTGCACCGTATTGTCATTTTTATTTACTCAAGTACATCTCATTCTCAACTTTTTTAATGGGAAATTATAAAGGTAGCAAAACTATTGTCGTTGCTAAATAACTCTTAACTGACACAATTTTAATTGTCCAACCCATTAACAGACTTTATTCCCCTAATAGTCACTAAAACGTGGTATTACTCACGTTATATTACAATTATGAAATATTTACTAATGTCAATTTATTTTTTAGAACCAAAGTACTATTTTGTGTCCTTTAAATGATATCTAAAATTGTTTGTTTCGCCTTTTATTAAAACAATTGCTATGCGTATAAGCATAAATACCACATACTTGCGCGACGCCTTTTAGTTTTACTGAAGTTTGCGCAGACTATGAAATGTTTTTACATGTGGAAAATGTTCTATGATAGATATCATTTTGTCAGACACTTTTCTTTTTTTTATTTGTTTCTTATAATATGCCAAAAATCTGTATATTTAACAGAGTTGAACATTTAAATTGTGCGTTTTACTCTTAACAGACGTATAACCGACCCGATTAACAGACCAACCGCCCATATAGCCGCATACTCAATAAAGATTAACCGACCAATCTCTCGGTTAGCCGAGTGTCGGCCGTGGAGGTGTCGAGCACCATATAAAAATTACAGTTTTTTTTAAGATAAAGTGTCACCATGCATTGGCTTGGGCTCCTGACGATGGACATGGCCATGGTCAATTAGTTTATTCTAATTGGTCTAGATGGATGTTCGAAACACCTTGTGGTGTATGGAGTTGGGGTGCTGGGATAGGATTTGACAACGATTTATTGAAATAATAAAGCATAAATTAATGTTATCAATGAATTCAATTTGAAACTATTATTCAAGTAATAATTCAAGAAAATCACAATAGAGTACTAATCTTTGGATTCTTTCAGTTAAACAATGCATTTCTAACAGCCAACCGACAGGAAAATGTTCAGAAATGTATATTCAGATCATGCAACTTGACACTGACTTTAAATATGGCTACAGTCAAAATATTGTTTCAAAATAAGCAATTTTGAAGTCATTTTTTAGAGCCTCTCTGATCTCAAAATGACTATTTTTGGGAGCAGGAAGGCCCTGAAAAATGACTTCAAATTTGCTAAATCTCTTTTTGCACCGACCCCCCCCCCCCCCCCCCCCCCCCGACCCCTACCAGGTACTGGGGGCAAACGGCCCCATACCCCTTGCAAAATGATTTTGCCTGCTATTCTGACATTATTTCCTCTTATTCCAAAACTTAATGAAAACACTGAGGGGCTTGGAAGGGGTGAGTATTTCCTGCTTTTTGCAAGACACCCGCTATTTTGTTTTAAAAATTCCCCAAATTTGGATAGAACAATTAAATACCTTAATATTGTTCGATTTTTCAATATGGTTGTTAAGTGTTATTAAAGTTTTTACACCACTGTTATCTGTTATCTGTTATTCAGTTAAAGTTGGTGTTAACTGTTATCAGCATTTTAAATTTGTTGTTAACTGCTTTTGCCAAAATCGAGGTGTTGTTAACATGTTAACGGACCCCCTAATGTCCACCCCTCCCCCTTTGTACACATTTGTTTCATGCATTTTCTCTTGCAAATTATAAAATATTAATTTTCATCCAGACCAGGCATATTTACTCATTTTTTAAAATCTTCCTGCGTTTCCTCCAGAAACCCTTATTCATGTTTTGTTTACCGTTGAAAAATCTGGTTTTTAAAGTAAAATTGGTAACCCTAAATCGTTCTAGCTACCATTTTCTGTCGTTACTATACCGTGGTATGTGCATTTTGCAACCCCGGTCTGTGTAGATTTTTCGGAATGACGCAAGATGAATCGCTCAAGTGGTGGCCATTTCAACTCTTAGTTTGCAGTGAGGATGAGAACACATTACATCCTATTGTGGTAGGGATAAGCAGTTGAGACATCTACAGATGCGGATTCAGGATTTTGAAAAGGGTGCATCAACAAGGCAACGTTAGGAGTTGGATTTGAAAAAAGGTTATGCATTTACCACATATGCAGCTCCATAAATGGGGCTCCCCCATGCACTCTCCGCCTTAAATTCGACTTTGATCCAGTACCCCATCCTTTTCATAAATTTTAATAATACAAAAATATATTCTACCGTGTAGATATACAATTAAACTACGCTATTTCATGGAGCGATAAATATATTTGACAACTATCTTATACATTTACGACTGTTGTTTTATAATACATGTAACTGACATCTGATTAGTTTCAGAAACTTATGATATAATCAAGCGACCTTATCAAATATTTAATCTAAATTTATCGCCCTTATCATACATAATGAGGTTTGAAATAGTGACCAGTTCCAGCGGCTCATCGCTACCTCTCAGTTCATAGTAAGTGACCCTCTTGAACATTACACAATGTGAAAACAATTGGTTGCCTTGGTGATACGATTCAAAACTATTTATAATTTAATCTAAAAAACGTCATGTTAACTGAATGCTTAGTCCTCTTTTACAGGTAATATTTACATCATATTACATACATCATACACAAGTTTGTTCAGCTTTCGATACGCTCTAGAATTAATTAAGATTTAACATATATTGTTATCAGGGTTATAGAAAACAATCATTCCTTCTTTAAAATCCACATTTTAGCGCATGACAACACTCCTCTTTTGTTAGAGAATAGCATTAATTTACAAGTTTTGTGGAAATCGATAAGAACAGCTGCGCGCTGTGTAGTGAGGTAAATATTTTCATTTTTTCATTTCTTCAAATTGTAAAATGTAAAATGTAAATTGATAATTCATATTTATTTGTTATATTGTTGTGTTTTTATGTTTAAATAGCTACATTGTTTAAATAAAGTAGTAGTATCGATTAAAATGTGTCATAAATGCCCTTTACCACGCGCTGAGTAATGACTACTGACAAAGAAAGTGATGCCCAAGAAGACCGTAGGCTATTATGTAACATACATAGAAAGTGCTATGAATGACAATATCGTGACTATTTCCTCCATGGGAATATGATGTATCTTCTGAGAGATATTCATGTATATATATATGTGTCTCTGATTTATTCACTTGCGCCATGGTGAATCAAGGTGAGCCCCCTTTTTATGACAACATTTAAATTTTTTTTTAATAAGTGTACGTTATTTTGGTTAGCCTCGCCGGTCCCCATTCTTTAAAAGTTCCAGATTCGCTAGCGTTGGGTAGGTTTGCTGAATATAATGGAGGAATCCATTAAAATATCTTGATATATTATAAATGTTAAGAGTATTCGAGGACGGCATGGAAGTGGGAATTACGTTTATAATTGTACAAAAGCTTGTTTAATGATCACTGAGATTGTGTGGCTACTGTGCGCGTTGTGTATAAACTTGATAAAGGGAAGTTATTGCTTTATAGTTTATTTGTTCAAAGATCGTGTGATTTGTTCCAAACCTGTAGTTATACTGAGTGGACACATTGGAATCAGAAGATAACTTGAGATTTAAACTCACGTATCAATACAATAATTATCAATGTGTAAAGATGAGAACAAAAGAACGAATCTAATAAAACTGTGTGTTTGATTACTATAAAATTATATCAACAAACATTAAAGAGCATGTTTATGACTATGGCAATAATTTTATCTTATCTATATCAATGGCAGTTTTCAGAATTCTATGTTATTTATCAATAGTAGTTTTCTGAATTCAGGTTGTACATTTTTTTAAAAATTATTTTAAAAATGGATAAGTCAGAAATAAAAATAAAAATAATTCCCAAAATATATGTAAGTAATAGGGTAGACGTATTGAATCGGTCATGAAATTAACCATATCTTTTGAAAGTATGACAATCAAATAGAAATGATTGACTTGTATAGAAAAAAAGTAAGTCTTGACCAAAGTATGATCATGATGATTCATGCATGTCCAATACCGCTCTTGGTTTTTTTATTGACCTGAACATGCATGAATACAGTAGATAGACGATTAAACAACCGATTCTATACTTCGGTAGATACCACTGCCGAGGATGTCACTAGCCCAGTGGTCACCATTCCTGTGCTGACTTAGCATATCATTGTATCGCCCTTTTTGTAAATTTACTGTAAATAAAATGTCATAAAATCCCACTGTCATAATTTAAATAACCCTTTACTTATGAAATAAACTGATTTGAAATCAAATTGCACTACAGCCAGAATATCGGCGCAACGTTTTGAAATATTTGGTTTAAGTTATCTTCATCTTCATCATTGCTTAAGTCTTCCAACCTTTTCGATTAAAGCGGAACTGACGAGTGTTGCATATAGAAGATTTAAACGCGTCTGGCGTTCTGAATCATTTTGTTACATTAAAATCATTATTAACGGATTACTTCGCATGGATTTGTTTCAATCGCTCTGTAAATACTAATCACTGTAATGAAAGTTGATAAATTTTAATGTAAATATTGAACATGATTATCAGGAATGAACAAAATACTTTCATTTTCACCGAGTTTGCGCATGGCTACTCATTTGTTCATCATTTTTTCTATTCCAAAAATAGCATTTTTTTGGCTATTTCTACACTGAGTTTGGATTCGGAAATTATATTGGCATATGATGAATGGCTTTCATTGGGTGTGAGGATTATCTCTATGAAGTTTTCATTTCAACATTATTCATACGACTTTTGTGTATTCCTGGAAACTGAACTTGCGACGGTAAAACCGATGTTTCACGTTGGCCAAGCTTAAATTACAATACAGGTGCATTTATGTATCTCCCGATTAAAAACATAACATTTACAGCAGAGGTATATATAGATATCATAAACAAAACATTTTACGAAATTTTCTAATGATTTATATATGTATTGTGGAAATATGATTTCACCAGCAGGAATTTAATAAAAAGTGACATTACACCTAGCTTTTTATGGTAATATTTTTACAAAGCTGACATTTAAAGAACTGTTTTTTTTCTTTCTTCGAATCATTCTGTTTTGCTAAACATATTTGTTGATGAAGGTTATAATCTACTGCTGTTCAATTATTTCGTCTGGTATTTTTGTTATGAAATTAACATCAATTCACTAACTAATAGTTTGAAGCAAGGCTTAACTGTTTCTTTTAATTTTCTGCATTGAAATTCTGTACTTTTTGTTCTGGTGATTACACAAGATCTTGTCTAAGACTCTTCCTGTAATGTTTATGATGTCACTGTATGAAATCTATAAAGTAGAGCCACTGATATTTTAGGGCGTAGGATGGCGTGATTTCATAACAGCAGGAAAAACACTTTTGCTTTCAGTATTATTTATAACTGCTATTATTGAATATGTTTGTACTTGTTACTTTTGTAATCTTTATTTTACTGTTATTTTAAAATCATTTTTTTCTTTCCTTGTTTTTATTATATGTTCTTTAAATTACTTCCTGTAAGTTCAATGATTGCGATTAAAAGGACAAAAAGGGAGAGGGTGCAGAAATCCAAATCCAATTTAACTCGACATCTCTCAATCAGTCAGGCGCCTCGTTAGTGGTTGGTTGTGTTTTGTCACATACATCTTAATATATCTTATTCATAGTCAAATGAAATCAACGAAGACAATTGAAAAAATTTAAATTAAAATCAGACACAATTTCAACAACTTACATAGATAAATACTTATGTATATATCATGATATATGTTATGTATATATGGATCATGTATATATGGGTCATTGCGTGTTTCGGAGTTAAGTGTGGCATCCATTTCGCTGACTAGTATACCTTATTGTTTTACGGGCCAGCTGAAGCACGCCCCAGATGCGGGATTGTTTTGTTGCGTTGAAGACCCATTGGTGGCATTGTGCTGTTTTCTGCTCTTTGGTCGGGTTGTTGTCTCTTTGACACATTCCTCGTATCCATTCTCTATTCTAATATATTTAAAAAAAAAAGTTAATGGGATATATTATCACATTGACCATCATTAACTAGATGAAAGAATTTATTGAAAAGTCATTCTCTTAAGAATAGTTACAATACTTCACTGCTTTTACAAATCTATGATATAATTTGTACACATGAGACAGGAGATACGAAGAGGACAGTCAAAGGTCAGACATACCATAACTGAATATATTTATTTACCATGATTATTCATAATTATATTCACTGGATTAAGCAGGAAATATTTGAATGTGCTGTAGGTAAATCTATTTTTATAACATATTTGAATAAGGACACTTTTGCAAGCACTTCCTACTGCAAAGAGGAAATAATCGATTATGTTTTTATTTTAATTTTTATCTTATTTATGTGAGACTAGCTGATTGGATTTAACTGTAAATTCAAATACCGGTAACTTAATTTAATTTTACTTCGATCAAACTCATATAGATATAGTGAATCAGGGATCCTTTCAGATCTCCTGAAAAATATATATAAATTGTAAACCTTTTTGCAATACTTTTTATGATTATATACATGATATGTGTGTAGGTGTTTGAAGCTGACGCCCATAATTGTACTGAATCAGATTTGGTTTTGAAACTTCTCTCATTACTGATCATATATAATCTCAAAATTCAAGGTTGCCTTGGTGCTGAGTAAATCAAGAGGCGTAAGAAATCCAAGGGCAGTGCTAAAATATGAAGGGTTGAGGAGCCCACCCTTAGATAGCTTGTGGTGATACCTTGTGCATATTATTTTTATAAGTTCGATTTTTACATTTTAAAGTATTATCTGGTGTATTTTGTCTATTCACCATGTTTCCTTTGTGATTGAACAAAAGAACTTTATACCTGGCAAAATAATATTCGTTGCCATTACGGTGTTTTTGCAACAAGTTAAACAAATAAACGACAAAAGAGAGGATTTCAACTTTGTGAACACAAATTCCTTTTTTCTGGACGGTGGTTTCACATGTGGCACCCTATGGTGTGTACATTTTACAACTGGTTCGGTTCTTTGTAGCCTCTTGTTTTTACACTTTTCTGAACAACGTTGATAAATGTTCAGGTATAATTAGGGTATACCTATGCATTGTTTCGAATATTTTCTTGGTAGTACAGAAATGTTCTACTTTACAGTCCTCGATTTCTACCGCTTTTTCTATGCAAGTACACAAATCAATAAAAGTGCACAAAATAATGAAAGGGACTTTTTCATTGTATGTATTGTACCAACAGTCATATTCAAATTGTTTCCGAATATTTACTAATATTCACAATAATACTATTTCATGTTTATTTTGTTAACTATATATCATACATATCTTACTTCTTTCATTTAATCAAGATTACGTTATATTTTGTCACGTTTTGAGTAACTTAAAGATGCTTAAGAATGAAGAAAAATACTCCATAAAAGACGAAAACAATAGATTAATCATTTGTTTTACTTAACTAATCTTTCTTATATAAATTATTTCATTTTCTTATTGATTTCTTTCATTGTGAAATCTAAAACACACAATGCATGGTGAAGAATAGCATGAAGTAGTGGCAAGTCAAGTCTCGGGAAGGAAAACTTGCTATGTTTCATTATTTGTTTTTTGTAACAAGCTAGATTTTTGTTCACGCTTTTTCGAAAATTGATTGAGTCACGTGAAACGGAAATCGATAGAACTTGTGTGAGTCAATTGTAATCTTGAAAAAAAAAAACAAATGTCGAAAATCTCATCGATTAGTGATCTAATAAAACGGTGGAGCATGTAAAATTTGCAGTCGTCTAACACTGTCTAAATTCAACAGTTAGTATAGGTCTGAAAATCATGTACAGCATGATTTAAATAAAGAAAAGACTGAATGTACATAGGTTACTATTTATACGAACATTAAATGTGGAAATGTTGTACGAAATCATAATGTAATGTTTGTGTATGTGAATGTCATACTGCCCATCAACGAGCCTTAATGGGAACAATAAAAAATACTTATTTTATGGATAATTGTAAAAATGTTTGATAACTTTTTAACTGTAATTTTAAATAATCTTTGACCTACTTTTTTGCATTATTCTGTGAGTTAATCAATACCATGAAGAATAGTACAAAGCAATAGTTATTCCATGCGTCAATGCATGACAAATCAGCATTTTCTATTTTCTATATAAATTTGATGACTTAACTTCAAAAGCAAGCACTTGTACCATTGATTTTCGTAAATTCGTTGACTCATTCGTGAATCGCTCCTTGTTGATAATATTTGTTTTTCAACAAATTAATATAAATCACTACTTTCTTTTTTTCGTGGGTTGAACATTTAAAAGTACTAAAGCCTTAATTAAACTACAGGCATATATTGTTTCATAGCTTTAAAGGTTTTTATTGGTAAAGCATAACGAGATTGTCTATCAATCTATCATAGTAAGGGTATACGTATATTTAATGAAAGATTTGTGTTTGTTTAAAGTCCAGTGGCAAATATTTCTTGCATTGTTATGATGAGAACACATTTACACACAAAAAATTGCAAGGTAGGTTCTGTAAGGAAGGTCGACTAGGATAAAAGGCGCTAATTAAGACTGCTTCCTAGAAATGCATGGAGGTAAGTTGGATTGCTTGCAATCGGCTAGTCATCACACCCCTGTTTTGTATCATCAGATTCACAACCGTGTTTTGTATCATCACACCCCTGTTTTGTATCATCACAGCCTTGCCTTGTATCATCACAGCCTTGCCTTGTATCATCACACCCCTGTTTGATATCATCACACCTCTGTCTTATTTCATCACACCCCTATTTGTGTACAATTATCAGTAAAATGGTCCATAACTTTTGTTTTGTTAACAATATTAATTCTGGAGGTCTGGCGTATTGCAAACACGGATAGAAAGAAAATGGCGCACTCTTTTTCCGACCAGGTGTAAATGTCCGATAAATCTCACTTTGGATTTGCAACCTAAAATGTGTTGATCTTTGCTGCATATCAATCGATTTTGTTGGTACCCCATCGCATTTGAATTGTTTCTGCTTTAGCTTTACACTTTAAGATATAATACGAAACATTGACGCATACAGTCATTAGACTAATACATTTATAATGCTACGTAACAAGTGTTTTCACAGAGCAACAGTATGACATTATTTTTCTCATAACTTCGTTGTCGAATTACCATAGAAGATATCAAGGTATAATAATAAGCATTTTCGAAGAGAAAATACATTTTAACGAAAGAGAGTATTGATTATCCAGCTGATGTATAACATTAATGGATGCGTATAGCTAGATGTATATGAAGTATTGCTCACATTACAATGAAATAATTGTAAGTGCATGTAAAAACGTATTACTACCTACATTTGAAAACCAGCTTTTTTTCCAAATAATGAATCTTTGAAAATACATCTTATCACACCCCTGTTTTGTATCATCACACTCCTGTATTGTATTATCACACCCCTGTTTGGTATCATCACACCCTTGCCTTGTATCATCACGCCATTGTTTTGGTATCATCATACCCCTGTCCTGTATCATCACACCCCTGTTTTGTATCATCACACCCCTGTTTGGTATCATCACACCCCATGTCTTCTATCATTTCACCCCTGTTTTGTATCATCACACCATGGTTTGGTATCATCACACCCCTGTTTTGTGTCATAACCCCCATGTCTTGTATCATCATACCCCTGTCTTGTATCATCATACCATTGTTTGGTATCATCACACCCCTGTTTTGTGTCATAACCCCCATGTCTTGTATCATCATACCCCTGTCTTGTATCATCAAACCATTGTTTGGTATCATCACACCCCTGTCTTGTATTATCAGACCCCTGTTTCGTATCATCACACCCTTGCCATGTATCATCACACTCCTGTTTCGTATCATCACACCCCTGTTTTGTATCATCACATCCCTGTTTTGTATCATCACACCCCTGTTTTGTATCATCACACCCTTGCCTTGTATCATCACACCACTGTTCTGTACACGTAATAATCATTTCTCACAAAAGCTTCATGGCAGTTTTCATATCTTGACAAAATAATACATTTCTTTCAATATGAACGGGGAAACCTTTCCTTGAATGTGATAACATATATTTTTGTGTGAGAAATTAATAAGGTTGACGTGAATAAGATAAACGAGACCATGTGTTTGGGAAAATCAACAATATAGACAAAATAATCCCTTCAAGTGTTTACTTAAATGTATATTTCGATCATAAATTCAACTTTCCAAAATCCCGGAAGTACCCTTATCATTGAAAAGTTTTTTGATTACGATCTTTAACAGTTATATAGTAGTTTATTTGTTCAAATACGACAATAAGATAACACCCCTTTTCAATATTTAGAACAGAACAAACATTTACTTAGTATTATCTATTATTTTACTTCCTGTACACTTCTAGGAATATCATTCAATTTGCACATGACAAAATACATAAATATAAAAGATAATAAGGATGTTAATTTTCATTCATGTGAAACAAACGCAACTTGACCCCTATTTAATAATTAGAATACTCTCCGACATAGAAAACAAATTCATATACGTATTATGTGTTATTGAAGTCTCGTACAGACAGGATATATAATGTGAAATTTCCGGGTTAGGTTTTATATTCCATAAGCCACGAAAGGACTTCAAAACCTCAGCTGGGAATGTCACAATATATATTCAAGTTTGATGTGATCAGAACTATAATTCTTGATTGGAGTTTGAGTTCCTCATTTAACTTCTCACCTTGCTCTTAAATTGTGTCGTAGGATCACGGCCTAATTGCAGTTGACGTATACCCTACATCTTTTTATTCATATCTACAAATAAATTTGATCGCTTAAATGGTATAGTTGCTGTTCTATTTAGACCATTTCGGATTTTGATTCTTCTAACTGATGTTACATGCCAACACGTTTGATCTCAGGCGTACCGGATGAAGTTATTGTCAGTAACGCGTGTAATGCGCAATGAGAGCGGTTTCATGGGTCCCTAGAACAGTACCGCTAATGGTTGGTAACTCAGTCCAAATCGTACTTTCCGTCGAGTAGCCATTATTCCGATATTTGCGCTATTTTTATGATATAGTTTGACTGTTTAAAAACTTGTGTAATTGCCCAAAATATCAGGCAGAGTTTATTTTGTATACATGTAATTCATATTGGAAAAATACCGGCGGGTATCCGGTTTACAGGGTGGCCGGTTTTATAAGGTTACATGACCATTTATTTGAATACAAATCGGTCGGGACTTCTTGATTTGACCGGTATTAGGGGAGAACCGGTATTCAGAGGGACCGGTTTAGAGAAGTTTCACTGTAGTTCATATTGTTCTTTGCAAGCCCCTTCGAGTTCTATGCTCCCCTGTGATTGGTTTCTAACGCTTTTGGTCGATTTTAACTAAG